GTTCTATATGTCCATTTTATCCTATTTAAAATTGTGATTCTGCTCCATACGGTGGTTAAAGATCACCGATGGAGATTTTGAACTTATATTAATATCTGAAACATTAAAATTACGATTTTTTTTATTAACAATTTAAAGTAAGATCATGCTGAAGATCGAGATTGCGATTAGAAATAAATAAAAAATTAATCAGTCGCAATTGCGAATGTGTAAATCAATCGCGAGGGGTTTAATTAGCGTGGATCGCCGTGAGCATTTTGACCTCGGATCATCTCGGGTTCTCTCGAGTAAGAAAAGCTGCAGGAGAGAAATTGTAACAGGCGACATAACATCGTTTTAATCCTTGAGTACAACCTGGGACCCTGCAGTACCACCACGGTTAAGAGTTACGCGAGGCCATTCGTTTTGTAGGCTAATGAAAGTGAAGACTTTGTCTTCCATGTTTGTATTACGTCGTGTTTTTCTCGTGTGCGTAGTGTATGAGCCTCATCATCCACACGCATCTGCAGCGTGGCGGCCGTATTTCTTCACATTTATAGTATATATTTTCAAAATATACTTTCAAAAATATACTTTCGCCGAACGCATCGCTGAAAAAATTTTGTTGATATTTGTGATTAGAATTGTATGATAAAATAATTATGGAAGAATTATACCAGGAAAAATATATGATTGAGTACCAAAAATGTCTTATTGTATTATTATAGTATTATTGTATTTATATTATAATGTTCATAATAATAATAATAATTGTATTTATAGTTTTATATATAAAAAAAAAATATACGGTTTTGTGTCCTGCATACCTATTATAATTTTATAATCGTTTTCGAGAGTAATAATAGAATTATAAAACTTAGTTTTATTAGTTATATTAGTAATAATGTAATTATTTTTATAAATAATGAAGATATTTTATATGTAATATATTTTTATATAATGTGTATACTACTAACATTACAATAATCATAACTATGAAAATCCTAGTTATTTAATCATGCAATTACCAGTATAATAAATACCGAAAACTTTTCTCTAGCAATAGATATTGTATGTCGCGTGAGATCCAGGAATAAAAAAAATACAACGCAAATGGGATATACATGACGCAAATGGGACGTATGATTCGTTTTACAAAATTAATTGTAGTAGACAGAAAGAGAGTACATAACAGAACAAGTCACGTAATGTTAAAATGGCATTAAAATAAATTGGAAATGATTGAAAAATGACTTTTAATGATCATTTTGGAGTCATTTTGGCATCACTTTGATATCATAATGACTTGTGATTCTAAACTTGGATATAGACTTATTAATTAATTTACATTAATTAATCCGCGAAAAGTCGGGAGAGCGAAGAAAGGCGTTTTCGGAATTTCATTCAGGAAATATTGATCATCGTCGCGGAATTGCCCGGTCATTGGAATGCGCTGTCTGCCAGTGCATAATTCTTCGACAGCAATCGCGCGGAAACCTTTTATAGCGAGAATAATACGAAGATTATTTCATAATTTACTATATTTCAGAATTTACATCCTGTATACACGCATAAATGCATTACACTATTTTCGAATCAGAGATTTATAGTATAGTTTCCTTGCAGCTGCACTCGATTAAAATTATACTCCTTCACGAGTTAAACAAGACATTAAGAGGTAATTATAAGAATCAAAATAGAGTCATTTTGATTTTTTCAAAAAAATATCAAATTCTGCATTTTGCGAGCATTCATCATCGGCGCAATCTTTGCGTTTAGATCAGCGCTTTTGTTACGGATATTACCGATAACTATATCGCGATATCACTTATCCGCAAGATAAACGATAAAATTGTCGGGCGATACCGAGAGAAGATAGTCAGATAAAAATTCAAGTACGAATGATCGGACAGTCTTTCCTCGGTGGTTAGCGCGGGTTCGTCAACCGCTCCTCGGAACAGATCTCCTTATTTAACCAAGCAAGTGTCATCCTTATAGAAATTTGATACTGGAAGGTAATGATTAAGTACTTATTTGAATATTAGAAGCATTGTCGTTTCAATACTTTCAATACTTAAAATTCAATAGTTAAAAGCATTAACTCAACTAGAACAATATCATAATAAAATCAAGATAAAATAAAATTAAAATTACTTTAGAAAAAATCATGATGGTATCATAAAATACATTCTCGATTATGATTTTGTGAATTCTTAACATGACAATGATTTTCATGTAACTTTTTAAAAAATCACATAAAAATCATTAATATGTCAAGAATTTATTACAAAATCATTACCAGAAGTAAAAAATTGTTCATACATGAACATGTAAAAATATGTTTATAAATGTATAAACATTCATAAACATAATTATGTATGAAATATGTCTATACATGTTCATCCATCTTTCTTTCTTTTGTAAAAGATTTTTTAATAGAAATAATAAGAATAATAATAATAATGTGAAAACATTAAAAATAATTAAAAGAATATTTTTCGCACTATTCATTTTCGAAAAAAATCAAGCTTGAAGAAATGTAAAAAAATTGCTTATATATAAAGTTATACATAATTGTGTATGAGTAATTTTTTTTACATTTGTTCGAACTTGATTTTTTTCTAAAACAAACAATGCGAAAATTATCCCTTTAATTATTTTTGATGTTTCTGCATCATTATTATTATTTTTATTATGTTAAAAGGTAATTTTACAAAAAAAAGAGAGATGTATGAATACGTACTATATTTTATATACGAGGGGTGTTCAAAAAGTAAGTTTCCCTAGTCTGCCGTTT